GTTGCTGGAAACAGCACATATCTAGCATCCTCCTTTGCAGAAAGTTTTGCCACTACAGAATAAACTTAACTTTGTAGCTTACAGGTATGGTGCTGCAGGTTTATTTAATACTGATTTTTTTAATGTTACTAATAATACAATGTATTTATAATCATAACTGGGTTCCTACTTTCTTTACAGTATGCTTTTTATATAGTAGATGTATAAATATCTCTCATGTAGGTATTCTACATGTCTCTGGCAATTGCTGCTACTAATTAAACTCATTTTATTGTATAAGCACCTTGAGTATTATTGTTTGTGTCTGTTGTACATCTAATGCAATTTACAGTTTGTTGCAAAGAACTAAAATAGTTCTGTGCTTCTGAATGTAAATAGTAGAGACACACATGGAATTATGTCAAATACATCTCTACAGGTATGTTATGTTTTAACAGCCCATTTAGGCTTCTGGAAATGGATATTTTCCATACACAGAAAATTTCTTGGATATTCTCTTTATCAAAGACCAGACTAGAAATGTTAGAGGAAATGTTGCATTTTTCTAGAAAAACGTAAGCAACTGCAACACTGGGATAAGCAAAACTTAGGTTTGAGAGTTTAGCAAAGTTATGTGACATTATTCTGTGGATGAGTGTGGCAGTTGTTCCGTGGAATTTTACAACAGCCCTCAGTTATTGTTGGAAATAAAGTTTTCATGTTACGATCTTCAGCTCTAAAAGACGAGAGAGTAACTGGGATGAAAGCATTAAGCAAATTTTGTTTACCTGAAGACTATTGATTTAATATTTGAAAAGCAATTATGAATTATTTTGAAATAGCCTCTGGTGCTAATCCTGTTCCTGAATCTCCCTGACAGTTTTTCTGGGTTTAATTTTTTTAAAATTTTTTTTTTTTAGGTAGCCATGTTTTTCTCTTAAAGAAGCGTGGAAACCCCATGTGTTTAGAATAAGCAATAAGATCATGCAATGGATTGTCAAATTCAAAGTAAACCTATCAAAGGAGAGAAGTCTTTCCTCTTGTCTCTTTTATGTACCTTAGCCTATAATACACTCAAGGGAGGAAGAACAATTTTTAGCAGAAACTTGTAATCTTTGTCACTGTTAAATGGAAAATTTTCTTATGTATTTTGTTACTGTGCTTCCTTGCATGCAGTGGATTATGGTCTCAGAAGCAATGAATTATGGTCTCAGAAGTCCTATCATTCTGCAGGAAGTGGACATTGCCTCTGCTGTGACGAGTACACGTGTTTCTGCTGGACTTTGTATTATGTGCATCACTGTAAGCCTGCAGAGAATTTGAAGGACAGACACAGCTCAAATGAGTATTGTTGTGTCTTCTGCCTATGTATGGGGAAGCACTAATAGCCACTTAATTAACTACCTCCTCATTCCTAGGGGAAAACACCACCTGAATTTAATGCAGTCATCAAGCCAAAACCAGTCAGTGCATGGGCGGATTCTCCTCCCTCCTGCCCCGCCCAGCCCCCAACCTCTCTTGTTTAAAATTCAGTGCTTGTTAGCTATTATATTTTATGGAGCTATTTTTCTTACTTACAGTGATATTCATTGTCTAAAGGAGTTTGGGGGTGTTCATTTGTGCAGAACTCTTCTTTCAGCATTTGGTCTGAGGAAGGAAGGTTCATGTGCCCTTGCCTTTCTGCATCTCTTGGGATAAATAAGCACTCTGAGAAGGACAAAACAGTATCCATACCTGGAATATTTACTAATAATCTAAGGATGTAGCTGCTAAAAGAAAAGGAAGAATTGGAATGAAGTACCTGCAGAGACTGTGGACTGGTGTGAAAAGAAACAGCTGTTCTATTCTCTGGAGCATATTTGCTGTCTTGTCGTATGTTGCCAAATAGTTCCTTGTGGTGCACTATTTCAGCTTTATGGCATGGCCCTGAACACTTTCACAGAGCATATGTTTTCCTGGTACGCTGCTGTTGGTTTTCGTTATTTTTCTTTGGGGGTCAGAATTATAATTGATGGTTGTGATATTATCATCATCTCTTCTAATTATTGTTTTTCAATTTATGAAAACATTGCTAACTTTACTCTGCTGCTGTGGTATGATGTCTCTCTTCTTCCCTGCTCTTAGTTCCTGATTGACAGCGTTGTGCACAGGGAGATCTTATACAGCAGAGCAGGACCATTAAAAGAAGGACTGTAAATCACAAGAATTTCGGGATTTCAGTGACAAGTGTAACAAACTATAATTTAACCATTCCCTATGGTGAATAAGATTTCCACAGTATTAACAGGAGGCCTTGACTCACTCTGCTATTTTAAAATATTTATATTTGATTGGTTGCCCTAAAGAAAGGAAAATTTTTATTCAGGAGGAGAAACTACCATGTTTCAAATTTAGCTATGCTCCTAAATTCTTAGTGCATTTTGAAAAATTTTGCCTAGAAGTTCAAAGGGAAGGAAAAACCATGACAAAACTCTAATCTCAGTTAGCTTTTGTGAGTTTTCCCATCTCTTTCCAAACTGAATCGCAGAATGTTGTGTATTTTCTGAAGATTGTAAGAATAGTAATAATAGGAAAACCAAATCCCAACCAGTAGTGCAGTTTCTGTTGTAATACTTGGTCTTCTAAGGGAATACCTGTTTTACCACTTCTAAACCTTTGCTGGTTCATGATCTCTTGTGCTGCAGGCACTGAACTGAAAGTTCACCAAATTTTGTTTTCCTTGTTGGCCACAGTTTTAACTTTCTAATTACTCATGGCAGTATGCAACAGCAGAGGACTTCATGGGCCTGTGTTGGCTGATAATTAAGCAGCTGGACAGTTCAGCAATCACAGGATAACTTCTGGATTGATGACATGCAGTGTTGATATACACCATATTGATTTTGAAAGATTTTGTTAGTGGACATATGTTGGTAAAGTACTTTGAAATGTTTGAAATAAAATTCTATAAAAGTCCAGAATTAAAAGGATAATTTTATGTAACAGTAATAGGCAAGAGAATAAATAATAAAGGATTAAAATTAACAGTAGTGCTTAAATAGTTCAGCATGCAGTAGTTGCATCAAATGTGAATGGCACTTGTAACCTTAATGCTGATGAAAGCCAAGGTATTTTTTAAAATGAAAACCCCACAAGAAATTAACACATTTTTGCTGCGCGGTTGTTTGTTATACTGCAATTTTACCCAGAAATCTAATAATGAAAAGCATAAAAGACAGGATTAATTAAGTGTTCTCATCCATGGCCTCATCAATTCAGAAATGTTTTCTTTGCTGTGCTTGCCAGTGTTTTATCAAATTTAGCCTTAAATAACTTCCATTTCTGGGGGAAAATATATTCTACTTTATATTGTATTGCTGTTCAGAAATGTTTTCTGATGCTCAGCCTATGCCACCCTCTTCCCTGAGTTCATCCCACTTTTTAATTTTATGCCCCTTAGAGTCAGGCTGTTTAATTCCTCTCCTTCCTCTGTGATTTACACTACTGTCATATTTCTCAATAGCTGTCATCCAGCCAGGCCAACTTATGTAGTTACTTTGGTATTTTTTCTGCCCTCTTTTAGAGGATGTTGAAATTTTTAACTTAGGAAGCAAATTTAGCTGTAAAACAAAGACTGATATTTTGTTTAAGAGGAACCGAGAATCTCTCTGTAGCCACTGCGGTATTTTTTTTCCTGACTTGTGATTTCTGGTTTGGCAGGTTGGTTACAAATGGTACTGCCAATCACGATTGCATCCAAGGTATTTTGCTAGAGCAAAGTTCCTTCTTCTCTTGAGTTTATTTTTTGTCATATGTAAATGTGCGTGTGAATATGCATAAAAATGTGTGTAAGTATGTGTACAAGCATGCGTGCAGTCATGGGGTGGTGGTAAAGGTCATGCCCTTCATCCCAGATTCTCCATGGTTCAGCACGAGGCATTGGTGCACAGCTAACACAGTGTTGTGAGTTTTTTTTCTGATTACCCAGTCCCATGTCTCAGGTATATGAAATCAAAGACATCCTGCTGCTTGGGTGCATCCCAGTTCTTCTGCTCTGTGGATTGTGGGCATGGGTTTTCTTCTGAGACTATACCAGGGGCTAGCTCTACTCAGGTCATGGACTACTGTTTAAGTCCTTCCCTGAAAATCCACTTCGTTAACCATTTTTGTATAAATACTTCTAGTGGGATTATTTGCTAGAAGCAATGCCTAGAGCAGAGTATCAGTAGGTGTGGAAGTATCATGTGGCTATAAAGTAGTGTGGAGCTGATATAAGAAAACATCCAAGGTAAAGTAGAAGTAGAAAATTCTTGTACAATGTGTTGAAAAGGTGCTGTTGGGGAAAGGTGTGACCTCTGATAAGGGGACATGTGGAAGAAACTAATATTTTTAATTTTTTTTTTAGGGAAAGAAAATTTAAGCAAAATCGTGGTTTACAATGGATGTGTAAATCATCAAGGATTAAATGAATTGTAAGTAGGTTGTCTGTTTAGTTTTCTGACTGTGGGACCTGGGGAGGGGGGATGATTTTCCACTTGTACCACGTTTTGATTTTATATGATGCTATGCATCCATATGACTTTTTGTTCTGGTATCTTGGACTTTTGGTCCAGCTAAAAAAAAACAACAGTCTGAATAGGAAGCTGAAACAAATTATTTCTGGAGAGGAAAAAAAACTATATGGAGCAATGTTTTAGCTGAAATGAGGAAAACAATATAGCCATATTAGGAACTGTAGTAATGGTAGACTTCAAAATATTTACTTTTGCGTGATCCTTGACATTTTTATCTTTCATCTTCTGTCACTATGACTTTTATGTCCTCAGAGCTCTGGCTGCGTGTGACAGTGCATTAGGGACATGTATCACGCTTCTGATGCATTTGTAGGATCAGCTAAATTGTCAATATTTCCTTACATGCCTTCACACTTCTAGATAGAACTTCCTTTTTATTTTATTTCTGTTTGTGGTTTTTATATCTGGGGTGACTGTGTCAAAATTTGTCTTCCAGACAGTCCCCGAAGAGAAGAAACAAAGTGCTCACTAAAGCTAACAGGCAAAAGAAACAGAGCTGAGGAAAGATTATCTCTGCTTGCAGGTAAATAATTAAAAATAAATTTAGCTTTCTGAATCTCTTTACCACAAACAGTGCCAGCCTTTTGAATTAGTAACAAGTTTTCAGTCCTTCTCAATTTTAATTAATAATTGAATTTTAATTTATTTAATAATTAAAAATCTTTCTTCATCTTCACTAGCTGCTAAAGACAGGTATTCTGTCTAAATTTGCTTTCTGAATAGAACTGATGCATTTCCTTACTCCTAATACAAAACCAAAGAAACTTACAAGACTTGAGACATAAAGATAGGTAGATAACAGTAATAACAATAGATAGATAAATAGGTAGAAGATGATAATCTTCCAAAGAAGACATTCAGAGGGACAAATTCTGTCATTTTTATATCAAAGTATTTCCATATCTTTGAAGTCTGCTGAACCACCTGGGCAATAAGTTGCTGTTCAGTGTGTGAAGAGGTGGCAGAATTAGATTCTCCTTACTTTACAAACCAGTTATAATTGACACAAGTCCAAATCCAGCATGGGATGCTCTGGTGAATGGGGAGTGAGCTCAGAGAGCTCTTGGGAGAGGCAATAGTTATGTTTTTACAAATCTCTCAGCCTTCCAGCCCGTTACATCCATGGCCCCATGGTGGAATAAGCTAAAGGCAATGTGTGTTTGTGTCTCTTCATAAAGTTTTGTGTGTTACCTCAAACTGAGAATGAGTGTCAGTTTAGATGGGGATGCAGGCCTCTGAAGTGGAGCTCCCAGCTTTCCTATAGGAATGGGTTTACGTTCTGCTGACAGGTGGGAGAGGGGGAAGAAATAGTTTAAAATACCAAATACTCTTCTGAGAATATTTGTGAGAGCCCATGTCTCTGTCTGGAGACCTGAATTAAGTATCTCCCTATTCTACTATTTCTTTGGTCAGCTTTTTCAGATATGCTTGTTAGCCTAGCACTGGTTTTGCCCAAGATCAGGTTGTGACTTTTTTATTGTTTGGGTTTTGTTTTTTTTTTTCCTAGCGCTGTACATGCCTTGTTTCTTTTAATTCATTTTTATGCAGGTACTTTTCATTATTGTTTAACATTTTCCTTTATCTGAAAATGATTCCTGGTGAAGTATGTGTGCTGCATCTAAAATGGAGAAAAACAGATAAAAAGAGCAAATTATCAGGTCCTCACAGAGATTTAATGGTGTATCCTGGCCTACATCAAGAACAGTGTGGCCAGCAGGAGCAGGGAAGTGATCCTTCCCCTGTACTCAGCACCAGTCAGGCCACACCTTGAGTATTGTGTTCAGCTCTGGGCCTCTCAGTTCAGGAAAGACATTGAGGTGCTGGAGCAGGTCCAGAGAAGAGCAACGAGGCTGGTGAAGGGACTGGAGCACAAGTCCTATGAGGAGAGGCTGAGGGAGCTGGGGTTGTTTAGTCTGGAGAAGAGGAGGCTCAGGGGTGACCTCATCACTCTCTACAACTCCCTGAGAGGAGGTTGTAGCCAGGTGGGGGTTGGTCTCTTCTCCCAGGCAATCAGCAATGGGACAAGAGGGCACGGGCTTAAGCTCTGCCAGGGGAGGTTTAGGTTGGATATTAGAAAGAAGTTCTTTCCAGAGAGAGTGATCAGGCATTGGAATGGCCTGCCCAGAGAGGTGGTGGATTCACCGTCCCTGGAAGTTTTTAAGATGAGGCTGGATGTGGCACTGAGTGCCGCGATCTAGTAATCACAGTGGGGTTGGATCAAGGGTTGGACTTGATGATCTCGGAGGTCTCTTCCAACCCAGTTAATTCTATGATTCTATGATTCTTTTAATTTTTTTTGTTTGTGTAGGATTTCAAAACTGGTTTAACTTTGAAGAAAGCGTTCAAGATCTTCATTAAGTGTTCTTACTTTTGAGACTATTAGCGAAATTTTTTCATTGCTTTCTTATCTATTTTAGCTTTGAATGTAGCTTTTTTCCCAACATTTGTTTTAACTTTGATTTTATTATATGAATTACTCTCACTGAGTGAGAGTAATTGCATAGTACATTACACCAGCTCTTCCAGTGGAAAGATAATATTGTAAAATGGACTGGTATGGTATTATACATGTAAATTTAATAGAGATTGAAGAGATAATTAAATATTGAGTCTGTATAGGTTTGATGAATTTAGGAAAGCTGCTTGCTTTTTTTATATTGGCACACTAACTTTGTCAAGTTTTATGAAAGAATGTTGTTCTGAACAGATAGAGAGATGTTGCTTGATAAAGGTTAACTTTTTCTGTTTTCCTTTTTGTCCCTCTCCGTCATGAACAGATTGTGGTTCTTGTTCCACCCCCCACTCACAACATACCTTCTTCTAATAGTGCCGTTTGTTCAGTGTTTTCTTGTGCTAGGTTATATCATTAATATAGTATTCATTCAACAAACAGAAACTCTGCCAGGTAGACCTGTATTTATTCTAGTTACTTTTGTCAGACTCCCTGTGTTGTTATTTAAATTATTCTTTTTCAAATACACTTAATTTAAGAGATATTGCAAGTTCTACCAAATCCTATTTTCTCACGTGATATTAGGAGTTCATTTGACCCCAGTGTCCCCTGATTATTCTCATTCCAGGCCCTGAGTGGCAGAGCCTGCTGGGCCTGTGTGGAATATGATCTTTCAGCATGTGGCAAATTGCAATTCTACAGATGGTTTTAAAGAAAAAAATAATAACAATTGTTATGTTTTAATTTTTATTCTCTCAGTGTGTAACGGACGTGAAGATCATTTTGTCGTATGTGACCTTGTTCATAATAACATCTTCTTCTTCATTAATAATTAAGATTTGATTCTTTCATGTTGTTATTTTCTCTTCCCTGAACTGTATGTCTTCCTTTGCCTAGTCCATGTGTGTATCTTCGCTTAAAATGCAAGATGAGGGGATGCTGCCTTTGTTATCTAAAGACTGGATGGAGAAACACTTCTGTGTGCCTTAGTCTGAGATGTGTATCCCAAGCTCTGTCTCAGGTTTTCTTTCACTGAGGCTTACTCTGGAGGGAAGTGCAACTTGCAAGTGTCTGGTGTCACAGGAAGGTTCTCTGATATAAATAAAAGACATGGCTTTCTCAAGGCCTTTCAAGCAAAGGTTTTCTTTGATTCTTTGTGCTGGGCTTTGTCTAGTATATCAACATTATATGTCTAAGTATATCAATATTAGCAAGCCCTGTAGATGTTACCCCGTGATATTAAAGATGTTAAAGCATGAAGCTTCTTGGGAGCCCATTATCTTAGGGTGTTGTGAGCCCTGAACTCAAGTATATCCTATTTTCTAGCATTAATGGCAAAGAAAGAAGTTAGTAATAGTAGTCTTGTTCTTTTTAGTGTAACACTCTCAAACTTTTTTTTTTTTTTAAATCTGGTGGTAGCAGGACTGGATGGAGACACAATTTAAACCTGTATTTTAAGTCATGGTTGCCTTGCTTTGCTTGCTACAGAATATTTTGGAACTAGTTCTTCTTTAACAAGTTATAGGAGATTTCAGCGCTTCCTGAAGGCTGTAAAGACAGACATGTTCAGATGTAATCAAATACAGTGTTACAAGGCAGGTCTGCCTGAATACTTAGGTATTAATCCTGGCTGTAAACTTTTAACAGAACTGAAGAACAGTTGTATCAGGAAATTGAACCAGGATTAAGCAAATGCTTTTTGAAATTTGACTTATATTTATTTGAATAGGCAGAACTTAAAATTGAGCATTTTTAATAATAAAATTTATCATGAATATTTATCAGCAACATTATTTATAATTCAGTGTCAGTTGTTGCAGTTGAAGTGTTTTTAAGGAAAAAGATTACTTTTTTTATCCTTAGGCTTTGAACATAATTAATGAATTTATTTAGCTACAGTTACAGAAAATGTTTCCTATTATAAGTAGAATATTCATACATTAGGTTTTCTGTCTTTTGGAAACCCACATACATTCATAACTGTAGAATATGCAAAGTAAAATTTTTAAACTTGTTAATGGAGGTTGCCTAGGTAGTTAATTCTTGTGTGTCTTCTTGGGTATGCTTGTCCTTAAAAGAGCAAAGTAAGTCCTTCATCTTGCAGCTCCTCAGTGTGTTGGAAGACTAAGGAGGCAGCACACAGGCTTGTTAATATCATGTGGGATTTAGAAGAAGAAATACATTATCCATTCACGTGGTAAATTTTAGTGCTGGAATCAAGGAAATAACAGCAAAGTGGTTTAAAAAAATATGTAATTATAGTAAATAAGTTTGCTAAAAAGACCAGGGTAAAGGAAACCAAACTGAAAATGCTCAGCAGTGTAATCTTCATTTTTATTTTACCTTCTGAAATTTGTATTGCTGTATTGAGATAGATACTGTGATTGTGTGAGACTTGCTGGCAGAGCTGTCTTTATTGTTTGCAAATTTTGCTGTTCATGTAGGTCCAACATTTTGTGTAGGTTAGATGGATTGGAATGAACTGTGTCAATTAGAAACTGATGTGGTGAGTTGTGGTTTGTTTTTTTTTTTTCTTTTACAGCATGCAAGTCAATACCACACTCTAGCTGCTTTTCCCTATACTTTTCTTTTATTTTTTTTTCATACTTTAGTTGTCTTTGAAACCCATGTAATTGGAGATCGAATGTAAATGATGATACAGAGTTTCTAGACAGATTTTTTTTTTTTTTTGCTAACAAAACATAGTAACATAGTATGTATTTGCAATTCTAGCCTAAGACTTTGGGTTAATAGGTCTTGAGAGATGAAGGGGTCTTCTGCTTCTAGACCATTAGCTGTAAGGGAACAATACAACAGCCTAAACCACTAGCAAATTAAATGGAAGAATAAAAAAACCCTGGTCATTGATTTCTGTTTCACTCAGTCAACAGGAAAGAGCTCCAGAGATAGGGAATCATACAAAAAAAAAAAGAGTTTTTTGCATTATCTAAAAAAAAGTGTTGGAGTAAATAGAATTTACTTCTTAGTAAAAGTTGTAGGTCCCATTTGCACATTTCAGAGATAGTGGGCTCTTATGAAGGAGAGTGAGCTGACAGTAATGTTTTAAAGTAGAAGAAAGTCTCTTTTTTTCTTTCAAGAGCAGTAAATTTATAGGACTCAGTTTTTACTCACAGCATCTTAAACTATAATAATCCGTGATATCCTGCAGCTGTACCTGTACTCAGTCAGGAGCTGAGTCTAGAAACATTTCTTACACGTTTGGACCCAGTGAAAAAGCCCTGCTAGCGTTGTTTTTAATTGGATGCCTGAACATGGCTCTGCTGGCAAAGTGAAGGAGAAGACAGTAGGGATTTCAGTTCCAGTTTTCTGACATCTGTCTCTTTACTTTCCGACAGAGGTTGAGTGAGAAGGAGTCAAGCAGACTGGGGAATCATTTCACATTCCAGTTCAGGATTTTAGGGCTCCATGAGGGAGGTTTTTCCATTGCATGGGAATAAAATCCTGCAACTCTGACTCCCTGGTCATGAAGGCATAGCTGTCCAGGGCTTCTGGACAGCAAAGGAGGCCTAAGATGTGGTAATAAAAGTTGCAGTAATACCATTCCCTTTCCATTGTTTTTAGTATGTTTCTCTAACATGAAGTAGAAGGACATGCTAAGAGCAGACCTCCTTGGTTATATCTACAAAACTTTTTGAACTTGGATGCCATGGATTTGATTAAAAAAAAAAGAAAAAAAAAGCCTTTTCCAACAGGAAATGCACTCATTCTTTATTCCTTTTGACTTCAGATGACACCAGTTTATCTTTCTGTTAATCTTCAGAAGCCTTATACATTTAGTGCCCTATTTCCAGTGTATTGGAAGTATTCCATTATATTTCCATGCTCACATATGGCAATATATTGTTGCAGGTGTGAGCAATGTGACACATAATTAAATTTGTAATGAAGGTAAACCTGTATATGAAAGAAATAGTTGAAATAATTTAAAGCTAATAATGTAACAATAATAATAGTAATCTGTTTTCCTTCAAAACCTGGAGTAGACTCTATTACACCTTTATGGAAAAAGTTATTTATTGTATGTAATGTAGTCAACTGTCAAATTAATAATTTAAAATTCAGATCTGAGGGGAAATTCAAAATCTGTAGACTCCAATGGAGTCCTCCACTTTCACGCTGCTGGAATGCTTTTTGATGAAGACCAAAGAGGATGGAGTAGCAGCTAGCTGTCTGGAACTGATCCATGGTTCATTGCATTAAATTGGAATTTTTTTCATTAACTTTGATCATCCTTGGATAAAACCTGTATGCATATGATTTAATTAGCAGCAAGCTCAGGAAATGCTGGTATGTTGGCTTTTCTAGTTTCTTACCTACTGAGATCGCATAAACCAATTTATTTGTATATCTATGATATGGCAAGTACAGAAGTACCCACAATTTGCTTTCCTAGAGGTGGACCTTCATTTTAAAGTTAAGGTGTTCTATGCTAAACCTCTTTTTCTTTCTCATTATAACATCAAACCTGATCATCTTATGTTACACATTTATGTGTCATTATGCTGAAAAAGTGAGCAGATTGTAAGTTTATTGTATGTCTGATTTTGAAATACATTAAAAGAACCCTACCCTTATATTTAACCTTCTAATATATTTAACTTTTGATAGACTGTCTTCATCTGAGAGCAAAATGGACATTCTTTAATGTAAAATGTTTAATTATCCAATAGAGTATATTTTCATCCTGAATCACATTGAAGGTATTAATGCTGTTATTTTATTTTAGTTTAGTTTTAATTATATAAAGCAATGTAGCTTCATGTTGGGATGTACCTTTACATTTATGTGAGTTGGGGGGGCAACCAGAGGAAACCTCTCTCCACAAGGGCAAGTTTGTAGACAAGGCTCTGAAGCATTTGAAATATTTTTACCCTGAACCAGATTTCTACCACATTATTCCTTGCTGTATTGTACCTTATTAGGTGAGCTGCCCCCATGCCTTACCTGTGGCAATTAATGAAGTTAAGGTATTGTTTGGGGTAAGGGAGGAAGGGTGGTGGGAGCTGGCTGGGGGTGTTGACACTGGACGCAGAGATTCCAGTGTGGATGTGTCTTGTTTGCTTTGCAAATATTGGCAGACCCTGTTGTGAGTCTGAATCATTTACAGTCTAAAGGTTTATGAAAGCCACCAGGCTCCTTTTGTATTAGTAGCATAAATAGGAAAAGTAGGTATAAAAATCAAGGGAGAAAGTGGGGTGGTAGCTTATAAGCCTTTCTCATTTTAGCAGTTGTATAACTAGACATAAATCTGTCACTTGGGTTTACTTATGCTTTGGATAGTTTGCACCCAATTTTAGCACAATAAATAGGGATTCTCTAAGATGTCAGTTATATACCTGCCAATGAAAGCCAACCTAAAAACCTTAAGTCTGTGTCAAAAAATATTGAATAGAACCTCAACTTTTTTCTCCTCAGGAGCATGTAAGACCTACTGAAGCAGCACTAAATACTACACCAACAAGATTCTGAGGGTTTAGGTGGTATTTTCTCTACTGCTTTACAAGAAGAAAGGTTTCGTAGTGACTGCAACACAGCACACAACATATGCTCCTTTTGAGGCAGACTTTACCTTCTTAAGTAAGAGTGACATGTTCTTAGGGCATGCTGATGGGTGATTACATATCATCTACAATGATTTTGGGGCATATGTATTATAAGAATATTTATATGCTTTAGGGAGTGATCCAGACCACAGAAAATGAATTAAGTGATCCAGGTAGTTTGTTTTTTTTTTGTACCTAGCTGCTGATTGATGACCTTATATTGCTACTTCTGCATTTGCAGTTGAGAAGGGCTGTGGGTAAGCAAATGATTTTTATCACTTGCCTTTTTTTATTTAAAAATTGGTAGCTTCTTTAGAAGGAGAACAATATTTTTAAGGTACAAATCTGAGAAATAGGTGTATGACAATGGGGTTTCAAACAGAAATAAAAGCAGGAAGATATTGTTTAATACATTAATGTATTGTGAAGCAAGATGTCCTATCTTGCTTGTTATATATCTTGAGACAGCATAGGTGAAAGATCACAGTATTGTTGTACCAGTTGGGAAAACTTTCCCTGCTCTGTCACAAACCTGCTTTTCAACAGCTGCCACAAGAATTTCTAGGATATAATTAGAGAAATGGTTGTCTGACCTTTAATGATTAGGAATTGGGATTTGGTTTTTTGTGTTTGAATATTTCAGTTCATCAGCTTCACTGGCTTTGAAATAGCTTATTGTTTCTGTGAGTTTTTACTGTTTCAAAAAACTATCATCATTGCTGTCATAGCTCCAATACCTCTGAGAAAGCAGACCTTTAAAAAGCAATGACTCTCAGTCTTCTGCCTGGGATCACCCACATTGAAATGTGCAGTTTGTGTTGCACAGCCCCTCTGTGGCGTTTGACTCTACCAAGTCTCCCCAGCAATCCCTGTTCATCTACAGTGAAATGCAGTGGCAGCTTGTTTCAGATTTCTGGTTGTTAATCAATCTGTTTGCACTCAAAAGTGTTGCAGCCCTGTGAACGCAGTGAGTATCCTGGATGATGATACGAAAGAGGTGAAATAGATGTATGTAAGTATAATCTGCCCCCAGAATGGCAGTTTATTTTCACTGATGAAGGTCATTGCTAAGGCAGACTGTAAAGTTGTATGATTTTTAAGAACCAGAGTGCTACTTTCACTTAAGCTGTTGCTGGGTGCTATGTTTTGCCATCAGTTTTTGAAGACACTGTTGGGTTGAGTTTAATACTCGTTCTTAAAAATTCCAGTTTTCAAGCATAGATTCCTAGGGAAATAATGGCTCCAAGATGGTATTTGTGCATCTGCTGTAAGCCCTCTTTTTTCCACTTCAGTTAAATTTCACAAGGAATGTCTGCATCGCCAGAGACAGCAAGTTACAGGTGGTGTGTGAGAAAAAAGGGCTTAATGAAGGAGAGAGATCCTATTAATTCCTCAGCTAAAGCGGAGGTAGCAGGAAGAGTTTGTCCCTTACCACTGAATCTGCAAACAAGCTTTGCCTCCAAACACAGAGGAAATAAAGATTTGCTAGTTCTGCTGCTTACAAAAAGAAAGCTTACTGCAAACTCCTTAGCCTGAGGATGAATTATGTTCCATTGGCTGACACCACTTACTGAAGAGGAAAATAGAATAGTGCTGTCTGAAATATTTTAAAAGAACCAAGAATGGATGCTTTAGGAGAAAGAATTGGCATGTGTTGTCTTTCAGACTTTTAGAATAGTAGTGTATCTACAGGAGAAGGCTTGAGACAGATGATGCTATTTTTCATAGTCTCTGAGATGATTAGCAAATGTTGGAACTTAATAGAAGTTATAATCAAATGTAAATATAAGCTGTAGATTGCTGCAGAGAGAGAAGGCTGCTGCTGCTTAGACAATAAACCTTACAGTAACACATCTACTTCTTTAAAGCTGTCAGTGTGTTGCCATCATCTGGAAAAGTACACAATAGCTTGTCATAAACCTATCAACTCATCTGCTTAAAT